ACCTCTGACACACGGTTTATTTTTCATTTTTGTATTTGGTAAAATAGGTACCCGAAGAAAGCTTGAGTTAGTTTCTATTATTGGCTAAATACAAAAAAACTCCCTTGGACTATTCTGATCTGTTATCATAAATCCAACAACGAAAAAAACTTTGTACCGTTTGATAAATGCTTGTTTATTTCAAGAGGATTCAATATCGGGTTCAAAATGTTTAATAAATATTTGTAAGCTATGCCTGTGTCGACCACGATCGTTATTCTATTAAATGTCAGTGTGTCGAGCAATTTAAACGTTAATATTTGTATGGCTTCTGCAGAAAAATAATATAACGTGCATATTAGGGAATAATATTGAATAAAAATGGTAAAAAGAATAAATATTCTACGTGGCTTACGAAACAGCCTGTACAGCTTCAAGGTGAGACTATTTTATTTTTCATGGTTTGGAGAATCTCCCAAATAGAAGGAAAACAAACGATCAACTTTGAACTATAAAAAACTTGCTCGTGCAGCTTACCTACTACATAAAATCAAATATTTTTAAACTCCGTTCGAGTTCAGCGTTGTAATCATCCCATCGAAAATCCGCGAAAGCGTTCCACTAAAAGAGCTGCTTTGTATCTCCAATAGTTTACGCGATACCATCGGAAAGCCGAAAGTTCGGAGGGTGCTTTCATCTCTTAGAGGTGAGTTAGCCAACAGCAAAAAAAAAAAAATCACGCGCTCCTTGCTTTCGATTGTTTTACAAATCAGGAAACTTTCATCGAAATCGCCGTCGAGGATGTTTCTTGTTAGCGAGCACTGGGCACTACGGAATTCTTGAACACTCTGTACACCCCGACCCTTAGGGGATACTGCACTTGCAACTACAAGTATGTATACCTTGAACATTCCGATTCGGCTATTCTGCAAGCAAATTCTATCAGAGTTCCGCGCCAAGTTCAAGTAGTTCGAGAGGTGGAACGCCGACTGGAAATTGGACGCGAAAACGGTTCGAACCGGGAATGAACAACTACGACTCCCTACGTATAGCTTTCGCTTTTTAACGAGCATGTTGATAGTGCCCGAAGCACCGAAGCCAATGAAGCGCGGTTCGATGGAATACGGTTAATAGTTTTCGAGAGATTTAGCGTCAAAGTTTAAGGTGACGCGCCATCTCGCCGAGTACCTGAAACTTTAGTTCGCGGGTCGCGTCGAGATGCAGGACGTCGCAGGCAAGATGCTTAGTTTCAGGTACAACTTTATCCATTACGTCAATATTCTATTTTTTCCAGTCGATATGCGAATTTAATCTTTTATTGTATAACTAGTACCGATGTTGTTATTGAAACAGGCTTGGAAAATATTCGTTATAATATAATGTTGGAGTCTAAATGAAAAGTAAGGCACGGGGATTCGAACACCCACGACTGCTTTAGGTACACGTTCAATCTCGTACTCTACGTTTCCTGTTCTCGTTTGATTTCTTATCGTTGCGTATGAAGGGAGGGCGATGCTATAATATTGGATGATCGCATAAGTTCGTGCCCGATTTAAAAATGAAGTTCAATGTGTTAAATTTCAAAGAATATAATTTTATTAATCGATTATGTAGTCGTCATTCTTTTCTACAATATAATTTTGCATGCGATACTATAACCTATTCAGCGGGTGAACCAAACCAAACAAAAACAACTTATGCATTCATCTAATAATCATGGGAATACATTTTAGATCAAACGTATTTTTATAAAAATTTGATTAGGCCAATAAAGTTGATCAAGAAGAACGACAATTACTTATGACTCGATCCAATATATCCACCTTCGATCCTTTTGCTCCTGCGTGATCCTTTTGCTCCTAGTTTCTTGCATATAAATCACGAATGCGCAACCCTTTCGCAATTAAAACCGTCGAATCCTCGATATTGCTGGGTGGAAAGAAAAACGTTGGACGTTGTGTACGGTTTATGTTCGACGTTGATTCGTACAACGCAGGGCAGAAAAATGCTCCTGAGGGTCGAGTGGAACGCAACGGTTTCGTCGTAGGACGGTGATTAATCGTTTCGCGGCGGAAAGGTTGTTTCAAATTCAACTTGCATTGAACGCGATGGAATACGGCAAAGTAATCAACCGCTTCTGAACGATTGCAGTTTTCTTTCGACCGGTTTCTTCCGTTTCCTTTTTCTTTCACGGTCGCGTTGACCTGCTGCGCGAGCCCGACGATTAAAAAATTTTAATATCGTTTAAGGGGGTGTTCTTGTACCGCTGAAGAAAAACTGGGGCATTTTTGACATTTTGTCAAATGAATACTGTTCAAGGTGTTTGTGCAAAACTTTGCGCCATCGTCGATACATATTGTATGTAGGTTCATACATATTTTCATATAAAAATATATATTCCATACGAGAATGCTGTAACCAAGTGATTCCCAACCTTTTCGGTGAAAACGCTCGCTGTGTCGTACCCGCTTTTTAATATACCAACCTTTCATCTTGAAAAGTATAAAATTTCATGATAATTTTCTAAATAATATTGATTAGGCTTAGGCTAGATTTGGGTAAAAAATCTGAATAGAACAAACGTAAAATGATGTGTATTACTCTTAATTGTAAACAAAAAAATAAGAATCACTAAAAGAATATACTTATTATAATTTTAACAATATATGTTAATAATAAGCTAGATGAAATTTAAAATTGTAACGAGAACCTTGAGGTCTTTGCAAAGTTTGGTTCTAATTTTATGAAATATAATATCAGTCAAAATTTGATTTCCACTAAAGAGCAACTACAGTCTCGTTTCCTATATTATTGAGAGCACATAACATATTTAAAGATACAGATTACTTGCACAACCACCGTAAGAATAAAGTACCATCTCTTGGAACACGTCTTGGAATCCATTCATAAGATTGTCTTTCCAATGCAAATATATAGAATCTCGAAATAAAGAAGAGCGATCTCGTTGAAATTCATACAAAGCATACGAGCGTTGTTTCCAATAGTCGTTCTTTAACAATAACTCCGCGAACGTCATCTCAAATCACAGTTTCCCGGTGAAAACAACATGTTTGTCACAATGTAATTTTCCACGTGTCGCGTTATTAAATGAACGACGGGCAAAAACCGGCCATCCTGCTTCGGAACGAAAGAAATACAGGCACGCGTTCCAGGTGTTCTTTTATGGACTTCCTGCAGGGAAATAGATTGTCTTATAATTTGATTGTCAGTGGTGCTCTGCAAAAAGTAATTCTACTTAAGCGTTACACCGGATATTCGCGTGTATAAACCAATAAAAACGAAACGAACGAGGAAATCTGCTGGTCACATAATATTTCTTGTCCCTATGGGTTAGAGGAACGTTTCAATCACACGTGCCCACGTAATAAGAAATTACGGCTAAATAAGGGAAAATTGATGAGTTTTCCTGTGGAAATGTGGACACCAATGTGACAGCTTCTCGAATATTATATTTCTACGAATCGAAGCTGAATTATAGAATGGAATTTTTCGCGATGAACAAAGAGAAATTTAGATATTCAATCGAATGAACGTCAGAAATAAATTGCTATGCGTTAAAAACATGCTTGGGTAAATTGTGAACGTTAACAGATTATGCATCAACTTACATATTCGATCCTATGATTCTTTTGGACAATCGATTATTAATATCATTTCCCTTAATTATGTTATATTACTATATAGCGCTACTTCTTGGCTTTTATCTTTCTTCGCCTTCTTATAACTGTTAAAGTCAATAATAATAATAATAATTGTTTCAATTTCTCCCTTTGAACGACTCAAATGCTCACTTGAAAACGAACTTCCAGCAGATATGAAACGCCTTCTTTAGGCGTAATATAGTAGTTTCTTATAAGAAGATTCCTTTACAGCGTGGCAGCGAATTTCTTAAGACCACTTAATACTTTATGAAACAAACGTGACTGACATTTCATAAACTAAATTTCTCACGCATATTAAGGAGGTGTCTGCTGGCATGATGCCAAGACGCTGCAGAGTGTTAGAAATATTTGCAATTTATACGAAAAGCGAGGGAAGCTTTTTCGTAATACAATCATTGAAAGCAGCGTAAGTAATAATTCTAATTAATATTATTTCAAATTAGCTGTGCCCAGTGATCTCGCCTGCGTGGAATATTATTCTTATTCTATATGACTCAAGAAAACAAAGCTCTTTTAAATTTCAGGTGTTTTCTTAAAACGGGGCGCAATAAGTAGGCGTCTCCATACATTAATCCTCCCCCCACCACTCTGAAAAGGAAGGACGAAACGACATAATTTCATAATTAGATACCTACGCTACGATATGGAAAAGAAAATGAAAGAAAATGTCAAAAATCTGAATTTTAAAACTTTTTTTTAATTTCCAAAAAATTTGACAAAATGGAGCTGGCTCCTTATTAATGCACACTCATCGATTTCCGTAGGAAGTGTGAGAAGATTGTCTGCAAATCGTGTATATAAAACGTAATATCATATAGATTCGTTGGTGAATTATTAGCGTAATATTATATTGCGTAGTAACTAGAATAATTTGATTCCGTGAAAGGAAAAGTTTGTGAATCTATGTATACAAGTTAGCGTTCCCAGACAGGCTTTAAAAAGGACATTCATCATCGTTCTCGCGAATCACTCAAGTTTTCCCTAACAATTCTTAAACTCCCCTTATAATCGACGCAATATACCCCGTTTTCCCTCGGAAACGGATCCGTTCGCCGGATCCGTTTTTTACCTGAAAAATCGAGGGCCCGTCAACATCCCGAACAATCGCGGCAGCAACAAGGAAAATAAAGTCTCGTTTCGCCGCGATAGAACCAATCCGCAGCGGGTAACGATTCCGTCTCAATAATTCACGAGCTTCGCGGAGAAAGCATCGCTCCCAACGAGGGTACGATACGTCCCGCGTGAATCATGAATGCCACGCTCGAATGCGCGCACTACTTAAAACGAGCTAATCCCATAATGGAGGATCCTCTCCCATACGATTTATCGCTCCGGTACCTTGGTATTCTGTCATAGCTGTCCCAGCTGGTAAGACAGTTGTAGCTGCTGTATCTGCTCGAAGTCGTCATAGCTAGTGCCTTGCTCGATGACACATCTTGAATTTCACAGAGTTCACCTTCATAGATGCGAACACACGTCGACCAACGGACCGTCCCGTGGTCGTTTTGGTTGTTTAGGAAAGTTCGCGTACACTGGTCCCGCGAGACGATACGTTTACTCGATTAACGCGTATCCTCTCGATCGCCTAAACGACCCGACACAGTGCCAGTCTCGGCCCCTTCGATGGAACCGTCGAAATGTACGGCATACGCAGGGGTGATTTCGCGCGATACACGCGACAGTATCGCGACTAGGTACACACAGACGCACGACACGCGAACACTTAGACCGACGAAACGTACCTGCCGCGACGAAGGAAACTCTCATCCGCGGTAAACTTCGGCGATCGAATCGTAAACAACAACACGCGACGGCCACAGGCTGCACAAAGATACGCGTACAGTTCCCACGACAATCACGGATAACCTAAGTAGCTATTAGTTGGACCGCGACGCTATGTCGTTTCCTATTAGTTTGGACCACAGCGCTAAATCGCTTCCTATTAGTTGGACCACGTTGATCTTCCTTCCTTTTCCTCTTTAAACGTTAGAACGTCGATTAACCCTAGACTTAATTACCAGCCACCAGGACACACGGCGTGCGTGTGCCGCGCCTATTAAAAATACTCTACGTTTTTTGGACCCGCCAACCAGCGTACTCGATAATATATCGTAATTAGGAGGGAAAGCGGCGGCCGTGTCGCAGCACGCCGCTTCTAGGAATCTTCCGTATTCTTCCAAGACACCTCTCCGTCTTCCCCCGGTGTTCCCGCGTTCGTTGGATCGGTTAAACACGGGGACGATCCTGTCGCCGCCCGGAATCCCGCTCTTCTTCCGCTCTTCTTCCGCCCTTCTTCCTCGCACTTTTCCACTAATCAAATCTCCTCTTCCGTTAGTATGCCCGAGGGGCCGATCGTAACGGGGTTAGGACGAGCCACGGAGACGCTCCTGGAACGAAGACGTCAGACGGGGCACTGGGACGATAAGAAAAAACCGCTCCGTCACATGCTCCCGAGTTGCAAGGCCACGAATTACTGGGATAGAACCGCGAGGATCGTCGATGGATCACGGAAACGTTGTGGATCTCTTCCTCTCGATCGCTGACGTCTCGATATGTTCCGAACGACTCCCCGACGGTGACACCATCGAGTGTCACCATTCGACGCGAAACACGGAGAACGATCGACTCGTCCTCGTTGCTCGTCGATCGCCCCGCGACGACTGACGGTGCTCCTCGCCGAATCGGGACTCGAAGGATCCTCCGGCTGTTTTGGTCCCGCCGCGAGCTCGTCGATCATAATCCAGGATTCGAAACGTTGCGCGACGATCGATCGACCGAGACGGTATCGCGAGCCAACGGAACCGTTTCTCGATTTCGTTCCAACAAAACGGTACAACGGAAAACAAAAGGCTGTAGAAAACGGACGTTTCACATCTCTTCGCGCGGGATGGGCAACCAACGAGCTCCGATGGTCGGTTCGCCAGCCGGTCGATGCTCGGACGCGATCAGTGTTCACCGTTTCGCGTTCGCCGATCTTCCTCCTTGATCACGGTCCTCTTTCGGGTTCACGGATCTTCTTCGGGTCGAGGCGACGGCATTTTCGTTTCAGGTACCGCATCTTACGGACGATTCTTTGCCTGCGCGCCGAGGCTCATTCGCGGGCAGTTCGAAGCGGAGTCGCGGCGCCCTCGAGGTTTCATTAGCCCGCCGCAGTGGCATGGAGAGGCTCGCCGCGCTGGCAGCTCCTCTCGACAAGCTCCCGCGAACACAAGGCGCTTCGCGTGGCGTGGCCCAGCGCCGACTAGCGGGTTCAGCCTCAAGCTTGCCGAGGGAGCCGCGCAGCCGAATACGACGCGCACACTCCACTCGTTTCATCCCCCTACCAAACCGTCCTCCGCCCACACGATCCGGAGGAACCCGAGGTTCTCCTGCGTGACCAACTTCCTGCGTCGCGGCCGTCGTAAACAAGATCGAGGCGAAGGAAGCGGTCCGAGGACTGGATGAAAAATAATAAATCGACGAGCCAACGTCTGCCGCGCGCTGCACCAAAATTGATTCGGTTTACGCTTTCCCGCCCGGCTCTAAGCGCTGGCTACGGTGTTTCATTCGCCGCGGCGCGTGATTTTGATGCCTGGTCGGACACGGGTGGAGACTAGACAGGTGCCAGGGTATAGTTCGGTGAACTATTACGATGGAAACTTTTTAGGGGATGTTTGGGTTCTGCATGAATTATCGGAGAGCAGTTTATGAAAATGTATTTTAATTTGCGACTTTTTGCTGAAGAGATATTAGATCGTCATAAGTTCACGACACTTATTCTTCTGATACTCGAAGCAAAATACGAAACAAACCCTTAGGTGTTATAAGAAAAAGTAATCTCTCTCCTTTTACCTTTCTGACATAATCGTTATATCGTCACTATACAATTTCTGTGGTTTTTCTTTGTTAAAAAATGCAGCACGGACTTAAGGGATGATAATGCAAAAATTTCTCACGAACAGTTTTTTAAAAAATGTCTTTAGATGTTTGAATAAAAATTCACAAAAATCATGCTTCTTTCGACCTCATGACTGCGCATGACCCCTTAAACAGAATTTTATATTTTCTATGCCAATTTATCGAAGAACGTATAATTCCGAGTAAAGTAGTATTTACCCTCATTAACTCTAAACCTAACAGTTAACGACTACTTTCGTTTCATTTCTCGACGATTAACTTAGCGTAATATCGATGACGCCGCAAGCGTCTATCACAGTCATAATTTCCTACTGAAGTTATTATAGGTATCAGGACATAATTATTGGCAAAGTGTGTTGCGTGAGAACTGAATATTTTTTACACTTACTAACTAATTTCTATTTTTTCTTTTGCCCGTGTGGATGTAACGAATCATCTATTTCGAAAGGAAACCGAGAATCTGTGAAATATAGTGCTCAGAAGTACCGCAAGGGGCTTGAAAAGAGTGTCACTGATTGATGTTCAAGATGCGAAGGAAATTCGTCTCCTCGTGGTGCTATTAGTCATTAGCTTACGTGCTACGAAATCCAAACCACCGCTACAATAACATTTCTCGAGTATCCTGATCACTAAATCTTAACCATATCCAGAGGATTTTTCATCATCGATGCATTGTATTCGTTATTTTTTAAAATATTTCTTATACTTTTCGTTAAGAAACAAAATTTTCGACACATTAGTCAGGCGTTCATTCGGGTTCGTCTTATTTATTCACCAGGCTCGTAGAAAATAAGACATTCTCGATTTCAAAAGTCCCTTTTGAAAAACTCTGACCAATCTTATTAATATTGTATTTTACCAAGTGCATTTATTCCAGATAGTTTAGTATTTGTTTTGCCTTTTATAAATCCACAAGATAAGGCATGCAAAAGTCGTTCGCCGTGTTCATTTCCATCACATTTTTAGTACGAGATTTTTCCATTTGATATCTCATCTTGAATGGAGCATGAATGTAAAATACGTAAGATTCACATATGATAAGAATATGTATAAGGATTAAAAGTCGCTCTCTGCATAATCTTAACATTCCTCTGCCTTTGAGTTTCGTTACGATCGCACGATCCCTTTGCTTCTGCGCTCGGCTTTTCGTTTCAAAACGAAGCACCCGCAATGAAAACAGAACGGAAAGCGTTGCCACGCGGTTTGGAAGTCAGATGTTTGGGTAGATGCTCCGGCACATGTATTTATACCAGAATCATCGACGATCGACTTTCTCGAAAATTTCGTAACGGTTGAGTGGATCTATAACTGGAATTTGATTCTTTCATATCCAGACTGTTTTGGTGTACAGTTTCCTTGATTCTTCTTAGTAGGAAACGTAAACAAATAATTCTTCGAGTCATCGACAAAGAAATCTAACGATTTAAAACTTCGATACGTTTTTGGTCTGCTTCGGTGTATTTTCAAATTAAAGACTAATTATTAAAAAGAAACTAATAAATATTTTATAATTTTAGTCAGCAAAACACGACTGTCTTTTTCAATCCTTGTTTGGAGGAGGAATTGCTTTGTTTCTATAGACCGAAAGTGTGTCCAAAGTCTGCGCGAGAGTTTTATGAATTATTGTGGTAGATAGTGTTAATAAAAATGTGTACTAAACATACGAAATTCTCTAAATCTGTATACTGCATTTTATGTGGCAATCGCGAAAAGTCATAAGTAAATATAAATATACTGTTTTTTTACAAAATATGAGATATGATGAAACATACAAAGGCTGATGAACCGAGTAACGCCATGTGAATGACGTCATCATATCAGTTTTTGTTTGTTCAAATGTTCAATAAATGGTAAAAAAAGTTTGAAAACGACTCATCGTAGAGTTTCTTTACAAACCATTTCTGAAAATACCTCCATTTTGGGAGCCATTACTGGTGCTCCCTTAACGCGAACAAATTTATGTCTCTTGTTTTCTTAGGAGCAAATGAAGTCCCTCCCCCCTCCTGTCTCGTAATGCGCACAGTAAGAACTCTGACTGCGACTAGTTTGCAAATCGGTTTATCCGGAGTCTAGCAGAACGGTCAATCCCTCTTGAAATAATTTCGGTCGAAAGGATCGACCTTTACCGGTCGGAACGTAAAACTCATTCGGCTCCTCGAGGAATAATAACGCGAGACGAAGGGGCGCAGCTGGAGAAATAAAATCCGGGGATAAAAACCGTGGAAAAAGACGCGACTGAAAGAAACAGCCCCGTACTTCCAACCGTTCGTTGTCCTTACTAATTTCATCGAAGCGTCAGCTGCCTAGGACGATAACTTCGAGGAGAGAAATTGTGAAAGCGTCGGATCGACGAGGAAGAACGTGGACGCCAGTCGTAAAGTGTATTGCAAAACTGAACGAAGAGGTTTACGATATATAAACTGTAAAGAAATAAACCGAGTTGATATAATTTCGAGCCACGGCGCGATTCCACTTCTACGACTTACGAATTTCCAGAGGGCTCCAAGTTGAACGCTTGACGAGAATAATACTATGAGAAGGATAAAGCGTACGCGTGATGAATTTTTAACTAGTTTAGGTTATGCAGTTTATTATTTTATTACCTTTTTATAGTCTTTGTCATTCCTGATGGAGGACGTTAACAAAGTAAATAAAATTGATTGACTCTATTGTACTTTATTGTACTTAATACTAAAGAAGAATAATAAATTGTTGACAAACTTGTTTTAATCTTTCAAAATTTGCACAGATCTATACATTGTATTTCCAATACTTTCGATATTGGTTCGTTTGAACGAACGCTTTAAAACTGAGCAAAATTTTTTTGCAGCTCATCTATTATCGAAGGGTTTCGACAAAAAAATTTACGAGCGAGGACTCTCTGTCCACGGAAGAGTTCGTCCGTCCATCGTAAACCTTGGAACCGATACGAGGGTCAAGTGGCGATAAAGAACTTTGCTCTTCAGGGTGTCGTTTGGCCGAAACGTCGAAATCTTTGAAAACCGATCGAATAAACTCGGACCGATGTGCAACGAAGTACGCGAGATGAATGGAAATTATTCGAATTCTTGGTCATAGCCGTGGGTCAAGTATCTCAGAGCCTAGGAAATTGAAGCTGATTCGACGTAAGTGGATATGAGTAACTCGTTACTAATCGAAAGTCGATGGAGACCGTTAATGGGACCAATTAAGTAAGATAAATAGCTTGCGTGAATGATGACGAGAATTCATCTTCCGGCGCTTTGTTACGAACCGTTGTTTGGAACAATAATTTTCTACGTATAGATAAGCAGGGTTGGAATATTTTTGAACATGTGTCGAATGCTAATTATGTAATCGCAGTTTATAATGCAGTGTGGCTAAAGAATCAGAATTTAATATTTTATTTAATACAAAATTATTTCATATTTAATTACCAAGTAATTTTTTCGTTTTCAAATAAGTGACCATGGAAATAGCAGTAATTATCGAGAATAAAAAATGTGGAAGTAATCAACTCGCTAATTAATTACTTGTTTTTTTTTATAATAGCGAAGAATAAAATTTCAATATTTCGCGTCGAGTGAATTTTAATATTTTATGAAAGTACAATACAGTTAATATTTAATGAAAGTAATATTTAAATTTCCTAATATTTCTAACAATTGGAATAATTGGGATCATTTTGCGTAATCAATAGTATCGTTTGATATTATTCTCGGAATTTCGTCGTTGGAATGAATTCAGCGAACGTTTTTTTAATTTTTTCGTACTTGAAACACGCCATACATTTAAAGTGGAATTGGCTGCAGACTTCGATGAATTTTCATGAATTTTGGAATGTTCTTAGGGTCATGAGGATGGATGTTGTTTCAACATTAATATTCGATGTGCACGCAAAACTTCTGTAAACATATCGTTCGAGAGTGATATCGAGACGACGAAATTCCTCGAGGTAATACATATTAATTTCTCGACATTAACGATGACATGGGGTAATATGCGAGCATGACAGTACCTTGGATTAAATTAACGACTTTCCTTATTTTGTATTTCACTGTTCTAGAAAAATGTTATTTTTTCATCATTCTAAAAATGCCTCTCCTTTATATAAATATGTCGCAAGTATATAGTGTAAATTTGGGATCATTTGGCACTTGTATATTACTAAAAGAAGAAGATTGTATACCACAATAAATAATAATAATAATAAAAAAAAAAAAAAATGAAAACATGGTCGTAGAACATTTTCGAGGTAAATTTCGAAAGATCAGAATTTCAAATGGTGTAACGTATCGGAATTCAAAATTG